CCGGCCGCATAGCTCCTAGCGCCTCAGCTGTCTGTGCCTGAAGGGAGGAGAACTTGGCCTGAGCGCAGCCTCAGGGCCTGCTGGGAGCTCAGAGCCAAGGTCGGGTGTCCACCAGCCTGTACTGTGTCCCCGCAGGCCCCCGTGCTGGGAGTGCTGCACTTTGCAGGGCCACTGCCAGGGACAAGAGAGGTGCCCATATGTGAGACACGTGGGGCTTTCTCACTTGGAGAGGCCCAGCCCCTCTGGGAAGGCAAAGGGCGAGCTCTTGGGCTGCCCTTACTGCTGCCTAAACCAAGGGGATGCGAGGCTTCTTGTTAAAGACAGAAAGCAGAGCAGACTCAGCAGGGGCTTAGTCCAGCCTTCTCCAAGGCAGGCTAGATTCTTTCTCTCTCCTCTCAAAATCTGTCAAAACATCATGTGCCTCTTGGTCTATTTCTCTGCAGCTGCCCTCTTCCCCCTGTGCCTTAAGGCCTGCCTCAAGGATCAGATTCCACGACTTTTTGTTCTTTTTCCAACTGGCCACTATCCACATCCCTCCTCCCCATGCAGCCGCACTCCCAGTCCTGCAGATCTGAGCAGGGCTCCAGTACACATGTGCCGAGGGCGCTCTGGCTGGAGGCCGCCTCTTGCAACTACCATCACCTTGATGGGCTTGTTCTCCTCTTTGAGGAAACGTATGTTCCACTCTCCGGGGGCTGACAGTAAAACTGAATCAAGCCTCCTTGTGTTATCGTCTTCAGGCTGAAGAGGAATCAAATCACAGGGACAAAACTCATTTGCCCTAGCTTTGATTAAAAACTGAGATACGCCACCCCGTCTGGGGGTAAAGTGGGAAACACAGTGAAGTGATTTGGGGGTCATTAAAATCTTAACAAGCTAGGGCTGGATGTCATGGGGAGTTAAATAAAGATCCTTCCCTCGACAAGTCCAGGTCCATATCCCTGACTGTAATTTCAGGTACAAGAAGTTTTAAAGGCCGACTTCATTTTTGTAAATGTGGTACCAAAATTTATTTGGGGGTCATATTTGACCTGAATTTAAATATTTGTATTTTGCTGCAATAATAAGATTCTACCGGAGGACTGTGTGAGACTTGGTATTTGCACCATTGTCCTTTCTCAAGTTCTACAGCTTTGCCATTGGGAAGTCATCCGCACGCAAGCATTTCAGACCTAGGGCCACAGGCCTGCACTGGTCCTGGCTGAGCGTGTGCCAGGAATTGTTCCGAGCAATTCTATCTCTTTTGTCCTCCCGGTGCTCTACGCAAGGGAGACCAGGCCTCCTCCGTTTTCAGCTGAGGCTTGGAGGGGTTCAGGAACATTGCTCCTGGCTCTGTCTCCGTCAGTGTTGACAACCAGACTGGATCCAGTGTCCTTGCTTAACCTGTCAGGCTGAACTGCTCCCTTGAAGCCAGATGCCATTTGCCTTTTACCTTAAGTGGAAGCGAGTGGTCCAGTGAAATTGGATCACTGACTCGACTGGCAGAGCGAAATCCTATACGTTGAGAGATCCTAGGCTGCAAATAAGAAGGTGCTTCTGGAGACAGCGGGTGGGACACGTCTGCTCACTGGAGAGTTTGTTTCTCACCTTACACTGAGAAACTGTTCCTTTCAAAAACTCAGATCCCTATCCTAGTGAATCTCCAGCCTTTCCATGGGGGCCACTGTCATTTGGGAGAAGTGTCACAACCTGACAAGCTACATGTTATTAGGTGATTTTTTTTGGAGGCCAGTGTTGGCCACCAGTAAAACCTGGGAAGTTTGTTTACCTCGCCGGAAGTGAGAAGCACACAATTTCCACCTCTGGGACTGCCATCTGTCTTTCTACAGGGACACCAGCTCTTACCTCAAATACTTGCCCTTTTTTTTTCTTTTTTCCCTGGAAAAGTGGGTGTAGTGGAGTCTTTAGGCCTAAATGTTAGTGAGAATGGGGAGGGGTGGGGGGAGCTGTTGATGCATTTTGCCTGTGTGTGGAGAACACAGCTAGGAAGAAGGGGGGACAAGAGCACAAGATCGAAGAGCTCAAGAACAAATGGGGGAGATCCAGTATGTAAGGCAACATGGCCCTTCCCCCCAGCCCTGGCCTAGAATAGGGCATTCCCGTGAGGCACACAAAGTCACTCAATTCCTGCAAACCTCACAGTGGCCGTGGAGTCTGTCCTGACACAGCTGCTGGTCCGGAGAACCACGTCTTTAGCCTGGAAAACTGTCAGAGTGATAGAAAGAAAATCCTCTTGGCCAAGCCCTGTTCCAAGTGCTTTCAATGGCTGAACATAATGAATCCCCAAAGAATTTCTCATCACTCCCATTTGGAGAGGAGGGAACAGGCAAGAGCGAGAGAAGGAATGGAAAGTTCCAGAGACAGCACCTCATGCACTCCAAGTATGAGGGTGAGCTCTGCAGGAGGACTCTGCTGCATGACTTTCTGTGGGCACTGCAGGCCACTGGTGACTTCTCTGTGCCTTTTTTTTCAGCAGTAAAGGCAATGATAACAGCCCCCCACCTCCAAGGACTAAAATGAGAAAAGGCGAGTGAACCACTGGGTCCCAGGTGTGGCCGGGAAGGTGGTTTCCAGCGGCAATAGCATCCCTGTGGAGGTCCAGCCTGTCACCTCTGCTGGCTGAGGTCTGTTGAACACTTTGTGTGGTCCTCGCCTCAGAGAGCCCTGTGCTTGGTCTTTCTTCCTGAACACATTCTCCATTTGCATCTAGGTAACCAGTTGGGTGCAATTTTCTGCACCCCAATCATCAAGAATTCTTCATCTGAGCCAGCGGAGGTGGCTCTGGGGCAACATCACCAGGCTATAACTATGCCCAAATGTGGAGAAACAAAACCGAAAGGCTCCCAGTGTTAGAGGGTGAAATGTGCCCACAGCAAGGGTCATGCTTGCTAGTGAAAGAGGTATTGGGGCTCAACCAAGACAGCTGCACAAGTCCATGTGAGCAGAAGGTAACAGCGCTAAAATGAAATCAAACCGCAGTGCTCCTGAACTCTAGAAAGGGCTTGAGCCCCCAGGGGGCCTGTCCTGTCTGCCTGCTGTGTCTGTCTTCATGCTACTCAACCTAGCCCCCTGCTTGGGAGCTCTGCTTGCTCTATGCACCCATCACATGACCAATTTCCAGGCGCCGAGCACTCTGCTTGGCTAGGCTCCACTAGATCTCAACAGAAAGAGTCCATGTCTAGGGAACGGCCATGGTTACTCTGGAATACGAGAAGCCTGACAGGCTCTTCTCCTGGACCAGGTCCCTAATCAACCAGTTCCCCGACACCCCTCGATGTTCTACAGAACAGGGAGGCAGAAGCACTGAGGACAGTCAGGAGAATGCGTCCGGGAGTGGATGGTGCGCAAGCCTGAAGGAGCTGGACTGGAAGGACAGAAAAGGGAGGAAGGGAAAGTCAGGTACAAGAAGTAGTGGAGCTAAAGGCTAAGTCTATGCAGAGTGGGTCAACTACTACCAGCCCTTGGAGGCTGTAGAAAGCAAGTACAAAGCGTGGCCCCATGGGATTTGAGTGTAAGGAGGTTGGTGGGGACAGGCTATGGCCCCTCGGACACTTCTGAGAAAGTCAGGAACACAATCAGATCAGTGGTTTAGCTAGGCAGCTCTTAAAGCAATGGTTGATTCGCTGAGGGGAATTAAGAATAAATGGTGTGACTTCATGCAATGAATCAAGAGGAGCCAGCCTTGGGAAAGGCTACGACAGTGGAGAGGAAGATCGAGACTGACAATATTCAAGCAGGCCAAGTTGTGACCCGGTGCCCATGGAGCCCTGCCTACTGCTATTATGGCCACCATCGAGTGACGAAGACATAGACTACATTATAGGGACTGTGACATCCATGTCCTCGCCCCTGCAGCTTGTTGGCAGCACTGTCTCAGTCACTTGGATGAAGCCAGCTGCCGTGTCATGAGATGCTCTATGACGGTCATGTGGCAAGGGACCAGAGGGGGCCAATAGTCCCAGAGGATCTATGGGCTCAGTCCAGCAGCCTGCAAGGAACGGCCTCCTGCCAACCATCAACTTTCCCCACAGAGCCTTGAGTGGACTGCAGGCTTCTGTGAGATTCTGAGCCAGGAGACCCAGCTAAGCCACGCCAGGATTCCTGACCTGCAAAGACTGAGCTAATGCAGGTGTGCGATTGGAAGATGGGGTTCTAGGCTAGTTGGTTACACAGCAATAGCTAACCAATACAGACAAGGAATAGCTAACCAGTACAGACAAGGATCAGAGCAATGAAAAGTAGCAACTGTGATAGATGGTCCCAAGGAGTTACAGCTGCATCTAATGACTGAAATGACTGCTGGGGGTGAGAGGGTGAGAGAAATCAAAGAGTAATTCTGAGGAAAGCATAGATTCTGCAGCGAGACTTCCTGGCTTTAAATTCTTGCTCAATCACCTGCTAACCGTGTGACTCTGGGCAAGTCATCACAACTCTCTGAACCTCAGTTTCTCTGTTTGAAAAACGGGGAAGAAGAGTGCCTTACAGGTGTCTGCCTTTCCTTCCAGGATCTGCCTCAGCATCCGCCACAGTGATGAATGGCACACCGAAGATGCTCAGCAAAAGTTTGCTGGGGAATTTATGGAAAGCTAAGCGTTCATCCTGACACCAGTAGGGACAAGACTCAAGTACTTCTGTGAAATTTCCTTACAGCCTACCAAGGCTTCCTGCTGTGTGGCTCAGTGCAGGGAAATACAGTTCATGTTTGGACAGTCTTGACTTGTCCTCCAAGCTCCTTCCCCTGAGAGCGGCTTGTGAGTGCAGCTTTTCTCCCAGGGGAGTTAGGTGACCTGAACAGGCACTGAAACCATAGCCTTGGCCCTGTGAAAACTGCTTTAACCACACACAATTAGCTGACTTACATAGACTTTTCCAGAGTCCAGTCCAGCTCGAGAGAGGACGATAGCCTGGATTTGCCTTCCAAAGCCAGGTATCCATGGCATACAACTTAGGTATGATTTCCCAAACAAAGAAGGACACCACCAGAGACAAGATTGGCTTACCTGTCTGGGCAGAGTGGACATGGACTCGGAGGCCACTGGACGCTGAAAGCGCTGGGGTTGCTGCATCATCTGCTGCAAGAGGAACGAATGCTCAGGCTGAGGCTGCTGCTGCTGCGGCTGCGGTTGCAGCTGCAAGGTGGCGGTGGCAGTGGAGGAGGCAGTGGCAGATGAGGCCTGCGCCGATATCGGCTGCTGCAGGTAGTGGAGCAGGGAAGCCTGCCTAGAGGCGGCAGGCATGGAGGGCATCTTCTGGGGGGCCGGCTCAGAAGCAAAATGGGACAAGGGCTTAGTGTTGGCAAAGGTAAATGGCTCAGGGGCTTCTGGGCTGGAGCTCGCCAGCCCCTGGTGCATGAGCATGCTCAGGGTTTTGGATGAGTTGCTGGTCATGGGTTTAAAGATGGAATTTGACTGCTGCTGCTGCTGCTGCTGCTGTTGCTGCTGCTGCTGCTGCTGCTGCTGCTGCTGCTGCTGCTGCTGCTGGCTCAGCAGATTACTGGTGGGAGTGAGGCTCCGAATGAGGGAGTACTGAGGGGTGAAGGACTGTTGTGGCAAGCCTGGGCTGGACAGCTTCTCTGGGCAATAGGGTGGGGACGGCCCTGGGTTGCTGGTGGGCAGAGCAGACATCAGGTGCCCTTGGGGGCTTTTGATGGTAGAGGACACTAGGTTGGCAAGAATGGAGCTCTGGGGGCTGAACTGTGGCTGCTGGTTGAGAGCTGGGCTGGGGAGCTTCTCGGGAGTGTAGGGCAAGGTGGGCCCAAGGGTGGCGTTGCTGCCGGATGTCATACTGGAGAGTAAGACATTGGGTGAGCCTTGCAAAGTGCTACTCGATGAGCTGCTGGATGACATGCAGGAAACCATAAAGCTCTGAGGGCTGAAAGGCGGCGGCGGCGGTGGTGGTGGTGGGTGCGGTGATGGCACTGGGCGGTAAGGTGGGGAGAGGCCTGGAGGGGGCAGGCCAGACCAAGTGGGGCTGGGGCCCTGCTGCTTTGTAGCAGATCCCTGCTTGCTGGCTGCCAACGCTTTCAGCTGGTGGGCATGATGCCACTGAGGCACCGGTAATGGGGGCAAAGTGACAGGGAGCATGGCCTGGTTCTTGGCCTGTGCTGTCGAGGAACTGGGTGATGCCATCTGCTTACTGGTAGGAATCGAATAGCTGACCCCTGTGGAGGAGGGCAGGATTGGCAGTGACACACCAGTCACTTGGCTGCAACTAGAAGCAAACTCCTTGCCGGAATCGAGGCCTTCTAATTGTGGCATCTGCACAGGAAGCTTGGGCGGTGTCTCTACGGGTGTCTGGGCGTGGTGTAAGACCAGCGGCTCTTCCGGTTTGCTCCCTAGGATCTTTTCCAGATCTAGATCATTCAGAGAAGGTTCCTGAATTTTGGTTAGCTCCTCCAGCAGGTCTTGAAGCTCCTGGTCTACAGCCGGCACACTGTTGATTTTCTCATAGTAAGGAACACTGGGCCCTTTCAACCCCATTTCTGTAGCTGGTTGCACCCCAAACGAGGAGCTGGTCATGCTGCCATTCATGGTGCTGTGCTCAAGCAGTAAGGACTGGCCAGCTGCTCCCATTGTTGCAGAGCTAGGAGTCATTGTTAACGCGGGGACCTGCAACTCTGCACAGAGGGTACTGGGATGGGCACCTGGGCCCATTGAGAGGGTGACATCTTCAAGGCAGGGCCTCTTAATTTTATTAGGGTAACCTCCATCAGCCATGCCTGGAAATTGGAAGTCGTCTCCTTCCTGTCTCCTCTTAATGGTTCCCTGTGGCTGGAGAGAGAGAGAGAGAGAGAGAGAGAGAGAGAGAGAGAGAGAGAGAGAGAATTTTTTAAAAGGCTTGGCACATTAATGCTAATGAACAGGAAACCTGCAAGATGAAACAGAACTCGGCTTAAAGACTTCTAGTTGTCAAAACTATAAAATACAGCCTATTTTTGGAAAAATGATGCTTGTTTCTTTCCTGGTGTGCCTCATTTAAATAGTCTTGTTACATTTCAGATAAGGCGCTATAGTGTCTGTGTACTAAACATGACAGAAAGTTATACAAAGCATATTCTTTGCCCACTTAAAGAGGAGAGTCACTAAATGAACTTGCTGCCAAAGGCAGGCATTCAAGAGCAAACTAGAGGGAGCTGAATAATTTTTGATTTCTACTTGTTTATAGACATTCCAATTTCAAGCAAGGAAAACTGTAATACAGACATTGAGCTTTTATGCTGTCTGTCTTGGTCAAATGTGTCAGGCTGCATTGGTAAAGCAGACCAACAGGAATGAGATTGATCTGGCTATGTTCTTCGGAACAGTTGTATTGCTTAGGGAAATGCACAGATTTCAGAACAGTAATTGTAGTCATTACTTCACTTATTTACACACACACACACACACACACACACACACACACACACAAGCTCATGCATTATGCACATATAAGAATATACCCAACCATTTTGAGTAGTCTTCTCTTGGGAATGATTGGCAAATTGCCTTTCTATTCTCTACCTCTCTGTACTGTTTGTTTTTAATGAGAAGGGAATGTGATAAAAAAAAACCCCGAGTATCAAGTTATTTAAGTGAAGAATTCCTCTCTGTAGATGCATCCTAAGGTGGAGAGATAGCAAACAGCAGGCAGAGACCACACTGTGAGAGCTGTACCTTGGGAGAGTTGCCCACTGTGTGTGAAAGCATGGCCTTTGGGAACGAAGTGAAGCCACTAGGAATGCAGTGTGTGCTACTCTTTCACAGCTTCGTACACTGCTCCGTGGCTGTCATGTTATTGGCAGTGACCTGGCTGTCAGCAGGGAAAGGGAGAAAGGAACAGGGTGTGTGTGGGAATCATCAAGGTAAGCAGGGGAAGACAGGAGCTTAGAGGTCACCTAAACGCCAACAGGTGAACAAACAGAATTCTCGGAAAACACTTTCTCACCTAGAGACTCCTCTTTCAGCTTTGGAAAGTTTCTTAGGACAGAGAGTGCCGATTTCTCTGGTGTCCCTTCACTTGCCAGCATAAGGGCCAGTGTCTGTCACGGCTAAGTGAACCCCACAGTAGACCACCCGGGGCTGCATGCCTCAGGCCTTGGTGTACACCAGAATGACTCAGACATATCTGGGGGCCTGGAGCCTCCCATTAAATATCAGTTGCTTTGGTTCCATCCAGGGTGGGGGCCTGGACATCAGGAGTTTGTGTACACTCTGAGGCTGATTCTCAATGGACATGAAAACCACTGGCCCAGAGTGTGGGAAGAGGCAGCATAAGACTCTGGTCTTGGGGAAAACACAACTAGCTCTTGGCTTTGCCAACTTAGCTTTCCTGAGCCCCAGTTTCATTGGTGGGAGGAGAATGGTAGTAGTTATCCACCTCCTGCTGCTGCTCTATTCAGTTAAATGGGGCAGACCATGTGGTACCTGCTATGGCTTTTCACCAACTGGTACCTGCCATCAGGAAGGCAATGGGAGGGACCTGGGAATCCAGTCCCTTCTACTTAATGATGAGTCCCTAAAGTCCAGAAACAGGATTTTACAGGAGCTGCCCAGGCCAGAGGCAGAGCCTTTTCGCGACCACTCAGTGGCCTCTGTCCCACTGTCTTCAACCATCTCCATGGTACGACACTGCTTTGTCCCTCCTGAAGGGCTCACCCCTTTGACTGAGAGGTGCGCATGACCCAAAGGACAGCTCTATCACCAAATTCATCTAAGGCCTGACCACTTGGATCTGGCAGGAAAGGTTGAGAAGGGACAGAGCAGGCATGAGAAGAGGCCTAAGCTGCACCCCTTTTCCTATCCAGGAGCCTGGTTGAAGGCCACAGCATCCTCTAGCTACCTGGGGAGTGGCTTGCCACAGTGTCCTCGGGCTGTCTGGGGAGCAGCTTGCCAAAGATTTACCCCATGACAGGTGATCAGTAAATAGCAGCTGAATGGATCAATGGACAAATGGACATGAAAGGCCTCAAGAATGGGAGCTTGAGCCATTAATTCAATCAATTATGGAGCAGCCTCAAAACAAGTCAGTGGGTCCGAAAGTGATACTTGGTCCCCTCTACCTTGCCCCAAGAAATCTGACATGTTTAACACGGAAACATGAAATGGACTGACGAGGGTTGACTGAACGTGGGTTTGTACAAAGATCTGCTGCAGGGAGACTGAGCTGGCAGTGGTCAGGCCAGGTGTGCTGCTCGTGATGTCTGAGGTGGCAGGGGGTAGGGAAGGCAGGGCACGACCACTGGACACTAACTAAAGGTTGTGTTAGGGGCCACTGGCAAAGGGAAGGAGGCTGAAGTTCTAAGTGTGCACATGACTTTGCAGGCACCCATCCATGGTGTGCATGCGAATGGCCCTCACTTAGCTCTAAATCAGGAAACCAGCTGGCTCCTCAGTGACATGACCTGGGCCGTGTGCTTTTGATTAAATCCCATGGCCACAGTTTTTGCTATCAAGTACATAGATGGAGACAGCTCAGTGCTCTAGAAGCCGCATATTGCATGTGATCCTGCCCTGTCACTGTGATAGTGAGCAAACAAATAGACACCAACAGGACCTCAAGTGAGCAGACTGCAACCCTCTCTTTTCCATAGAAAACAGAAGTGGACATAATTTGCTTTTGGTTATGCAGTCAATTAAAGGATGAGGGCATTAGACCTCAGGTGTCCCAATGCCTAGCCAGGTCCCTCATAGGTCCTGCTTTTAGTGGTAGGAAAGGGTATGTCCTGGCATCTTTTAGAAATGAATTGCTTCCTCTCCATACATAAAAGCCTGTGGAGTCCCGTTTCATAATCAGGCAGACAAAGCCACCAATGTGATCCCCATGGCCTCATAAACATTCATGAGAATGCATTTCAGAGCATGTGATGGCTCTCCCACCCCTAAGAAAGAGAACACAAAGGCCAGCCTTCTGACTGGGGCCAAGTTCAGCTCTGAAGGCAACAATGTTTCTGGTCCTGTCTGAACAATGACATGTGGCAACAATTCACTTTCTATAGTTTTAGTCTGGAATGACAAAAAGGGAAAAGATTTCTTAGAAAAGGTACTGATTAGAAGACTGCACTTTAGGTTCACAAGATGAGCATGAGGAAATAAAGTACAGAGGAGATTGGCAGGCTGTTGGAAAGGTCTCATTTGGGACACCTTTGCTGGGAGTTTAACACAGACATTAGTGGAAGGCCAGCAAAGGGTGTGCACACTTCCTATTATGTAAGAAGGTAGGAGGTCAGGGATGCCCAGGGAGCCTCCTTTTCCGTTTAGAGAGCACTGGGCACTTAGGCTCTGTGCAAAGTTGTCCAGAAGGTGCAAACTGTCACTTATTCAGTCTCCGCTCTGCCCTTGCTCGTGTCTCTACCAGTTCAGTTCAGGCCAGTTTGCTGGCTAGTTCTCCTAGTTCCTCTCACAAGTACTTTCTCAACAGCTTTATTCAACATAGGACACTTCGCCATGAGTTTTCAAGGACCCGATGCTGGCCAAGTAGACCAGATTTCTAGCCTCTTGAAGATGACTGTAGTCCCCTGGGAAGAAAGCAGTGAAGATGTCATGAGACATCTATCTAGTTCCAGAAATCTTTCATTGCTCTGAATGGAAATTTATTGACGATTGAGCAGCCACTCAATTGCTCCTGGCAATTACTCGGCTACTTAAGCATGTTTTCTAGGTTTGGAGTTTCAGGGATGAGGGGGATTCATACAAAGGACACAAGTACTTCAACAGTACTCAGGATGTTGGACTTCCCTGAGCCTTCGGATCCAACTCTTAGAGTTACTAACCATGGGCCTTTGCAAGATCCTAGCATCTGTCAGTTCTTGGTTCATTGTCCTTTAAGACTAACAACAGTCCTAGGATGCAGGCGGGGCTTGGTCGGAATCCCTATTTTGCACATGGGTAAATCAAGGCTTAGAGAAGGCCGGGTGACTTACTAAAGTCACATCATTAGTCAGTGGCAGAGCAGGGTCTGGCACTCAAGCTTCCAGAGTTCAGTCCAGTAACAGAGCATTGAGAGGCCAGATATGCATGGTGGTAGATATCTGGACACCTCAGCAGTAAGTCAGCCTTCACCAAGTGAACCCAGAGGTTATTCTGGGGCACCAGGGAGAGGCAGGGAATTTCCGTCCTGCACACTTAGCCTGAGGATAAAAGCCTGCTGTTGGCTTGCAGTGACAGCATTTTCATTTGCTTCTGTAGGGACTGTTGTACTTGCCCCAGAGCTTTCCAAATCATGACTGTCAGACTAGGGCCAGATAGTCAGCAATGACCTGGTGAGAAAGAAATTTCTGTTGCAGATTTTACTATGTGCATGAAGGTACTTGGCTGCCAGAAATTTGCTGGCCCTCCTGGTCCCAACCATTTGCCTGCAAAGCTCTGAATGTGCCCTCAAGTGGCAGGATTCACTGCTGTGTATCTGACTCAACTGCCACACACTTTATGCATATTAAGCGTTTTTCAGGCAGAAGAGTGGTCTAATCTAATAGTAAAAAACCTTCTGGACACCAAATTCCAACGGCAGACTGCAGAGGTGTGGGGTGCTGAGAGGCTTGGAGGCAGGGCCAAACTCTCAATTTGTCTGACCCTCACTACTAATTTGTAATAAGCTCAGGCAGGTTATTTCCCCCTTTCTAACCTGTTTTCTTACCTGCAAAATGGGGAGGCAGAGCTACTTCAACAAATTTGTATAATAATTATACGGGCTTAGAATCATAAAGTTAGCATAGTGCCTGGCATGGTGTTAGATACCAAATAAATATTATCTCTCTTTCTACCCCTGAAAATGCAAACACATGCTTGGTGGTCCT